TTGCACCAATGGCAGTGTCACTGCATGGGTGGGGCAAAGGCAGGGGCAGGGCCAGTGGGCTTCTTGCCCACCAATGCTCTGACAACAATGGTGGTGCAGTTGGAAGAAGTGGGACAAGGTGCACTCCGCTGGCACTAGTGTCATGACAGGGTACTCACATATTTACACTGGCAGGAAAGGGAAGGCTATGTCTACCTGCACACATATGTGCTGGCAAAGCAATGTGGGAGTGGCCATGGGTGAGTGCCTGTGGGCAAACCAGCATGGAGGCTGCTGTTGGAGGAGACCTCAGTGTGGTGCAGGCAGGGGCACTCTGCTGGAGCACTCTACCAGTCAGGCACAGTCCACCAGCACAGGAACTATGATAAGGACCCCCAGGAGGTACCTAGGGGCTGCACTACAAGCAGACTTAGCAAGGCTGGAGCCCTGGAAGAGGCCAGAAGACTAAGGGGTGGCTCAGGTCACACTAGCTCTGTCTCATGAGCAAGACCACCCTATAGAGTTCAGGTCTGACACTTCCCCTATGGCTAAAGCTTTTATGGGAGCAAGTTGAGCCTAGAGGAATGGACATCCCTAGTCTGCTCCACTACAGATGCTCCCGTGCCAAACCCTCTGGGCACTGGCTGGAATTCTTCCTTTAATGCGCCTTACTTCTCTAAGCACTATCCATTGTGGCTGAGGGGGTCTCCTCCTACGGGGATTTCAGAGTTCCATGGTGATAGCAGGTTGCTTCTTGACTGCTCAACTCACCCCATCCACAGTAGTCACTGGGGTTAGGGAACAAGTCATGGTGTGTGGTTGCCCAATGCAGGGTTCCTAGCCTTCTTCTCCTTTGTATAGCCTCTGTGTCTTTGCTGTATCTGCTCTTAATGCTTTCCCTTTGAAGATTTGCTATGAGTGTCCCCATCTTCCCAATATCCTGGTCCCTTGGTGGGAGATATTCCCCATGGCTGCATCTAGCCAGCCATTTTGGAAGAGGAATTCAATCTTTGCTTCCATTTCAGTTGGAAAAAAAAGTTAGACTAATTGCAGAAGGATACTCAAAGAAAATAATAACTTTTGTCTAAATCGAAGTGAGATTCTAAGGAAGTTGAAATTTTAAAAAGTAAAGCTGTTTTTAAAATAATAAGTAAATTGGAGGTAGAAACTACAATACCCAGGGATCACTGCTAGAGCATTACATTGCTTAATATATCTAAGAGTTTTACTTAACTTTCATAACCAATAATTTTATCTATGTTAGGAGGCTTTCTCCTCAAAATAGTTTCAAATGGTGTTATAGGTTTGTACATATGATTTGAAAACCATATACTATATGTATAGTTCATTGTGAAAGGAAGATTCAGACACATAGTACATATCTAGTACTCATATTTTCCACAAAGAAGGACCAAAACAGCAAGTAGGTAACAATATGTCAGGTAGAATATCTAGGGAAGAATGAATGAATCCAGAAGGAAAACAGTAGGGACCCCCTGAGGCATGGAAGTTTGAGATGGCAGCATAGAAAAGGCACTAAGTTGGATTTGCTCACACCTAGGAGGGATGCTCCAATACAGGAGAAATGGTAGCAAGATATTCCTAGCAGTCCACGTTCCAACACAAATGCCTGCAGTCCCAGCTACATGAAAGCCCTTTGGCCCGCTTGGGCCCTGTGCCTAGTATAAGTAGCTTCCTGGAGTCCACAAGACTGAATTTTTCATGGAGGAATTAATGCTGGGACCTCTGGGACCCAAGCTGCTGCAATATGGTGCCATTTTGAAACCAGAGTCAACACCAAACTACATCCTGCCCTGGTGCCCAATGATTCCTGCATCTCCAACATCCCTCTACATCCACCCAGAAGGCTGCAGTGTTGCAATGCCAGCTGACTCAGTGGTTTAGCCACATTTCTGGCACCCAAACTTTGCAGCACCCTACATCCCAGGGAGCAGGTGATCCAGCACATTGGAGAGGCAACCTACCCAACATAGGGAACTGAAGTGTACACTTACATACCCCACCCAGGGACCAGGGATCAGCCTGCCCACTACACTAAAGATACTACCAATGCCCACATGCCCCATGCAGGGGCCCAGGGATCAGTCTGCCTTCCCTATTATGTACACCGGTAGTGCCTGTATACCACACCCAGAGGCCTAGGGATTGGGCCACCTTGCTTACTGCTGGTGCCCAATCATATGTTCAAATCATATGCACATCACCCTCACTGCTGGCACCCATGCATGCTGCCTAGTAGCCTCAGGACTGGTCCTACTGGCCTGCTGCTGACACCACCAGTGTCTGTGCACTCCACTCAGGCACCAAAGGACCCACCTGCTATTGCCACTGCCAGTGCATATGCACCCTACCCAGAGAACCAAGGAGCAGACCACTGGTACCTGCATGTGCCACCCAGGGACCCAAGTGCTGGTCCACTGCCATTACTGCTGATGCTCACATACCTCACCAGGAGGCCTGAGGACCAGCCTACTTGGCACCTATGTCCCCAGCAAATCCTCACTACATCCTCTACAAACAACTGCAGCCTATGCCACTAAGACACTTACAGACACCTCTGATACTGATTACAACCAAAGTAATCACATGGAGACTACACTATGGTGCCCATCCAGAACCAAAGCCAAAACCGTGTACCCAATTTACATTATAGATACATCAACAGGAAAAATTACTTTTCTATGAAAGCTACTTTATAAAATTGGAAAAACTTAGTTACACCAGCTGTGGAAATATCAATGTAAGGACATATGAACACGAAAAATCAAGAAAACATAACATCTCCAAAGGAACGCAATAATTCTCCAGTAACAGACTCCAAAGGAAAAAAAAATATGAAATATCTGAAAATGAATTTAAATTAATGATCTTAAGGAAACTCAGCAAGATACAAGAGAATACAGACAAGCAATACAAAGAAATCAGAAAAACAATTCATGAGCTGAATGAGAAATTCAACAAAGAAATCTATATCATAAAAAAGAACCAAACAAATCCCAGAGCTGAAGAATTTAGTTAATGAAATAAAAAATACAATTGAGTGCTTTAACAGTAGACTACACCAAGCAGAAGAAAGAATTTCTGAACTTGAAGCTAGGTCTCTTGAAATAACTCAATCAGACAAAGGGGGTTGGAGAGTGTTATGGAGGAAGAGGAAAGGGAGAGAAAAGAAAGAATGAGGGAAGCCTAGGAGCATGGGAAACAAGTAAACAAATAAGAAAGAGAAAAGATGTTTTTTTAATACTGCATGTTCTTACTTATAAGTGGGAGCTAAATAATGTGTACACGTGGACATCAAGTGTAGAATAATACACATTATTGGTGTATAAGAATGCTTGTGATTTTTGCACACTGATTTTGTATCCTGAGACTTTGCTGAAGTTGCTTATCAGCTTAAGGAGTTTTTGGGCTGAGACAGTAGGGTTTTCTAAATGTAAAATCATGTTATCTGCAAACAGAGACAATTTGACTTCCTCTCTTCCTATTTGAATACGCTTTATTCCTTTCTCTTGCCTGATTACCCTGGACAGAATCCACTTGGGACATGGGCATGGGCAAAGACTTTGTGATTTAAACATCAAAAGCAATTGCAACCAAAGCCACAATTGACAAATGGGATCTCATTAAACTAAAGAGCTTCTGCACAGCAAAAGAAACTATCATCAGAGTCAACAGGCAACCTACAAAATGGAAGAAAATTTTTGCAATCTATCCATCTGACAAAGGGCTAATATCCAGAATCTACAAGGAACTTAAATAAATTTACAAGAAAAAAAAACCTCATCAAAAAGTGGGCAAAGGATATGAACAGACACTTCTCAAAAGAAGACATTTATGCAGCCAACAAACATAAGAAAAAAAGCTCATCATCACTGGCCGTTAGAGAAATGCAAATCGAAACCACGATGAGATACCATCTCATGCCAGTTACAGTGGCAATCATTAAAAAGTCAGGAAACAAGAGATGCTGGAGAGGAGGTAGAGAAATAGAAGCACTTTTACACATTTGGTGGGAGTGTACATTAGTTCAACCATTGTGGAAGGCAATGTGGCGATTCCTCAAGGATCTAAAATTAGAAACACCATTTGACCCAGCAATCTCATTACTGGGTATATAACCAAAGGATTATAAATCATTCTACTATAAAGACACATGCACACATATGTTTACTGTAGCACTATTTGCAATAGCAAAGACTTGGAACTACCCCAAATGCCCATCAATGATAGGCTGGATAAAGAAAATATGGCACATATACACTATGGAATACTATGCACTCATAAATTATAAGAATGAGTTTATGTCCTTTGCAGGGACATGGATGAAGCTGGAAACCATCATTCTCAGCAAATAACACAGGAAAAGAAAACCAAACACCACATGTTCTCACTCATAAATGGAAGCTGAACAATGAGAACACATGGACACAGGGAGGGGAACATGACATACCAGGGCCTGTCACAAGGTGGGGTGCAAAGGGAGGGATAGCATTAGGACAAATACCTAATGGATGCAGGGATTAAAACCTAGATGACAGGTTGATAGGTGCAGCAAACCACCATGGCACAGGTATACATATATAACAAACCTGCACGTTCTACACATGTATCCCAGAAGTTAAAGTAAAAATTTTTTCTATTTTTTTTTAAATTCCAAGCACTTAAAGTACTTTCGTTGTATATTTAAGTTATGCAACAAAAAGTTTAACACTGTAATATAATGACAGACTACATGGTAGAGATTTAGAATCAGTTTTAAGCTATGTTACATAGTCAAAATATAAAAAAGGAATCTTATACTTAATAAATAACTTTTGAAATTTTTGGCTAACTACTAAATTTGTAACTAAATCTTAAAAGAACAAAGACTTAGCCACATTCATGTGGTTTAGAAAATAAAGGAATTCTTGCTCATCTTCATTTGTTTATCTACACACTTTGACTCCTTTATGTTAAGAGTTAATTATGATATTTATGCTGACTTTCTCCTCTTGGCACAGACCATGTAAATGGACATTGCACAAGTCCAACTTCCCAGAGTTGCAGTTCTGGAAAACGTCTTTCTAGTGCCGATGTTTCAAAAGTAAATCGCTGGGGTCCTGGAAGACCACCATTTCGAAAGGCCCAGTCAGCAGCTTGCATGGAGATTTCTTTACCAGTTACAACAGAAGGTATGTTAAACATATTAATTTTTTTTGTTATAGTTAAAATTAGGTTTACCATGATCATGGGAACTGAGAGATATAGGATGAAGATCACATGCAAAAGATGTAAAAAACCACTAGTCAGTGAATAACTGACAGCCTGATGGGGCTGTGGCCATAACGCCAACTTCATTCCTCACTCCATCTCCTTCTTCACCTCTAAAACCAGAATGGCTCTGCTTATGGGTAACTACCCCCTCCTCTGTAAAAATCTGTTCTCTACCCTTCCCATAATAATTAAGTTTATTTCAATCTCAATAGTAAGCTCTTTGGTGTCTCTATCTATAGATATTTAATGTATAGCAACCTTAATTTCCTCAGTTATCAACTGAATGTGACCAAGAACAAAGGCAAAATATTAAATTCTAAAGTTTGCAATCTTCATCTTCATATATTTTTCAAAGGAGGGACTATCTGCTTATTTATGGAATGGATGTGGGGGGGGGGGGGCGGGGAATAAAGTACAAGAGCCAGAGGCCAAAAATTTTTACAGAGGGTAAAAAAGGGAATACTATAACTTTGCTACAACTGTCTTATTGATAAAGAATTTGAGAGAGAGAGGCCGGGCACGGTGGCTCACGCCTGTAATCCCAGCACTTTGGGAGGCCGAGGCGGGTGGATCACAAGGTCAAGAGATCGAGACCATCCTGGTCAACATGGTGAAACCCTGTCTCTACTAAAAATACAAAAAATTAGCTGGGCATGGTGGCGCCTGTCTGTAATCCCAGCTACTCAGGAGGCTGAAGCAGGAGAATTGCCTGAACCCAGGAGGCAGAGGTTGTGGTGAGCCGAGATCGCGCCATTGCACTCCAGCCTGGGTAACAAGAGCAAAACTCCGTCTCAAAAAAAAAAAAAAAAAAAAAAAAAAAAAAAAAAAAAAGAATTTTAGAGAGAGAGATAGGAAAAAAATAATTTTAGGAAGATTTGCTCTTCTATGCTGTGAATTAAGTCCTTATTTACTACTCCTGAAAACTTTTAACAGTGATCTATATTGTTTTTCAAAAATTATATTTAATTTTTTAAAAATATTATGCTATACTAAATCTGATCCCTTAGACATGCAGATAATGACGTTATTTCTCTAACAGTTGTCTATGAGTATCAACCTTGTATGGTGATTAACCATGAATGGAAAAGATTTGAAGCCATGTAATAGCTAGTATGTTATAAAAGAAGCAATATGTAAGGATTACGAAAGAAGTAGCCCATTTTTAATTTTTTTTTAAGAGATAGGAACTCATTCTGTTGCTGAGGTTGGATTACAATGATACAATCATACTGCACTGCAGCCTCTAACTCCTGGACTCAGGTGATGCTCCTGCCTCAGCCTCCCAAGCAGCTGGAGTACAGATTCACACCACCACATCCAGCTTATTTTTCAGTTTTTATAGAGTCAGCGTCTCACTATGTTCCCCAGGGGGTCTTGAACTCCTGGGCTCAAGCACTCACTATGTTCCCCAGAGTGGTCTTGGGAATTTTGAATTTTAGATACTTCTACCTCTAATTTGTCTAGATTCTGAGAAAATTACTAAACTGTCTCCAAATCCATAAAATATGTAACCTCCAAGCTCCCTCTCATCTCTAAATTTTATGACAAACAATTATTTTTATAAATTTCCTGAGAGATAAAAAGGGGAAATTAGGAATACTATATTTTGTTTCCTAGAAAAAAAATAGTCTGAGGAACCTATATTTAGCCTCTTTCTATAACAATTATGAGTTACATGTGTACCTATCAAGAGGGAAAAGAGAGTGACAGCTGTAGAAAGAAAAATAGGAAAAACTTGTACTGTGGGGTGATTATAAGAGCAGGACAATATTGAAAACATTTCACTGAGCTGTATGAGTTTATGCCTATTGGAGTGTGCACATGGACAAGTGTTAATGAGAAGAGAACCTGAAACAATCCTGTTTGCGTTAAGTGAGTTGAAGCACTCTCAGGAAGATTACCACTATCAACAGGATGGCATATAGTCTATACCAGGCGTCCCCAAACTTTTTACACAGGGGGCCAGTTCACTGTCCCTCAGACCATTGGAGGGCCGCCACATATTGTGCTCCTCTCACTGACCACCAATGAAAGAGGTGCCCCTTCCTGAAGTGTGGCGGGGGGCCAGATAAATGGCCTCAGGGGGCCACATGCGGCCTGCGGGCCTTAGTTTGGATACGCCTGGTCTATACTCTTTATTTAGCCCTAGGCAAATTTAGGACTAAATTTGAATTAAAGGTAAGCAGCCCGAAACCAGTTCTAAGAGATAAAATATGCATTTTGGCCTTGGTAGAAATGTTAATTTTTACAATTGTAATTACTCCAGCTATAGAATATGTTTGCCACAGAAGATTTGTGATCCAGATAAGCCCTTTCATGCCAATAGCCACAATATTGTCAGTAAGTTGAATTGACAAGAAACTGTGAGGGATACTTCTAAAAATTTAGAGGTAGGAGGGAAGCACAATTTAAGTGGTATCAGAAATTCTTGTTACTGTTACTATTTAAACTGAATATTTTTTCTAGACAAAAGAATTTCAACTAACTTGTGAGTTAACGTAGAGAAAAAAATGTTGAACAGGAACTCAGGAGACTCCAATTCTAGTCCTAGGTCTGCCTAAGCTTATGAATTATACTTCTAGACTTCAGTTTCTCCATCCTCAAAATAAGTTGGTGAACTGGATAAGCTGCCTTCCAGGTCAATTAAAAAACAATAAAATTTTACTTCCTCATAATTTTATTTTTATATTATTATAGTTATAATACTTTAAGTTCTGGGGTACATGTGCAGAACGTGCAGGTTTGTTACACAGTTATACACACGCCATAGTGGTTTGCTGCATCCATCACCCCATTATCTTCATTAGGTATTTCTCCTAATGCTATCCCTCCCCTATCCCCCCAACCCCCTCCTATCCATCCCCTATCACCCCACCTCCTGACAGGCCCCAGGGTGTGACATTCCCCTCCCTGTGTCCATGTGTTCTTATTGTTCAGTTCCCAATTATGAGTGGGAAGATGCAGTGTTTGGGTTTCTGTTCTTGTATTAGTTTGCTGAGAATGATGGTTTCCAGCTTCATCCATATCCCTGCAGAGGACATGAACTCATCCTTTTAATGGCTGCATAGCATTCCATGGTGTGTATGTGCCACATTTTCTTTATCCAGTCTCTCATTGATAGACATTTGGGTTGGTTCCAAGTCTTTGCTATTGTGAACAGTGTCACAATGAACATACATGTGCATGTGCCTTTATAATAAAATGATTTATAATCCTTTGGGTATATACCCAGTAATAGGATTGCAGGTAAATGGTATTTCTAGTTCTAGATCCTTGAGGAATCACCACGCTGTCTTCCACTATGGTTGAAATAATTTACATTCCCACCAACAGTGTAAAAGCATTCCTATTTCTCCACATCCTCTCCAGCATCTGTTGTCCCCTGATTTTTTAAAGATTGCTGTTCTAAATGGTGTGAGATGGTATCTCATTATGGTTTTGATTTGCATTTCTCCAGTGACCACTGATGACGAGCTTCTTTTCTTACGTTTGTTGGCTGCATAAATGTCTTCTTTTGAGAAGTGTCTGTTCATATCCTTTGCCCCCTTTTTGATGGGGTTGTTTTTCTCTTGTAAATTTGTTAAAGTTCCTTGTAGATGCTGGATATTAGCCCTTTGTCAGATGGGTAAATTACAAAATTTTTTTCCCATTCTGTTGGTTGCCAGTTTACTCTAATGATTGTTTCTTTTGCTGTGCAGAAGCTATTTAGTTTAATTATATCCCATATGTCAGTTTTGGCTTTTATTGCCATTGCTTTTGGTGTTTTAGTCATAAAGTCCTTGCCCATGCCTGTGTCCAGAATGTTATTGCCTAGGTTTTCTTCTAGAGTTTTTATGGTTTGAGGTCTTATTTTAATATTTAATCAATCTTGAGTTAATTTTTGTATAAGGTGCAAGGAAGGGAACCAGTTTCAGCTTTCTGCTTATGGCTAGCCAGTTGTCGCAACACCATTTATTAAATAGGGAATCCTTTCCCCGTTGCTTGTTTTTGTCAAGTTTATCAAAGATCAGATGGTTGTAGATGTGTGGCATTGTTTCTGAGGCCTCTGTCCTGTTCCATTGGTCTATGTATCTGTTTTGGTACCAATACCATGCTGTTTTTGTTACTGTAGCTTTGTAGTATAGTTTGAAGTCAGGTAGTGTGATGCCTCCAGCTTTGTTTTTTTTGTTTTGTTTTGCTTAGGGTTGTTCTATATGAAATTTAAGGTGTTTTTTTCCAATTCTGTGAAGAAAGTCAATTGTAGCTTGATGGGGATAGCATTGAATCTATAAATTACTTTGGGCAGTACGGCCATTTTCATGATATTTATTCTTCCTCTCCATGAACAGGGAATGTTTTTCCATCTGTTTGTGTCTTCTCTTATTTCCTCTAGCAGTGGTTTGCAGTACTACTTGAAGAAGTCCTTCACATCTCTTGTTAGTTGTATTCCTAGGTATTTTATTCTCTTTGTGGCAGTTGTGAATGGCAGTTCACTCATTATTTGCCTCCGTTTGTTACTGTTGCATAGGAATACTTGTGGTTTGCACATTGACTTTGTATTCAAGACTTTGCCAAAGTTGCTTATTAGCTTAAGGAGATTTGGGGACAATGCAGTCTTCTAAATATACAATCAAGTCATCTGAAAATAGAGACAATTTGACTTCCTCTTTCCCTAATTGAATATGCTTTATTTCCATTTTTGCCTAATGGCCCTGGCCAGAACTTCCAATACTATATTGAGTAAGAGTGATGAGAGAGGGCATCATTGTCTTGTGCCAGGAATGCTTCCAGGTTTTACCCATTCAATATGATATTAGCTGTGGATTTGTCATAAATAGCTCTTATTATTTTGAGATACATTCCATCAATAACTAGTTTATTGAGAGTTTTTAGCATAAAGCATTGTTGAATTTTGTCAAAGGCCTTCTCTGCATCTATTGAGATAATCATGTGGTTTTTCTCATTGGTTCTGTTTATGTGTTGGTTTACATTTATTGATTTGTGTATGTGGAACCAGCCTTACATCCCAGGGATGAAGCTAACTTGATCATGATGGATATGCTGCTGGATTCAGTTTGCCAGTATTTTTTAAAGGATTTTTGCATTGATGTTCCTCAGGAATATTGGCCTAAATTTTCTTTTTTCATTGTGTCTCTGCCAGGTTTTGGAATCAGGATGATGCTGGCCTCATAAAATGAGTTAGGGAGGAGTCTCTCTTTTTGTATTGTCTGGAATCATTTCAGAAGGAATGGTACCAGCTTCTCTTTGTACCTCTGGTAGAATTTACCTGTGAACCTGTCTTGTCCTGGACTTTTTTTTTTTTTTGGTTGGTAGGCTATTAATTCCTGCCTCAATTTCAGAACTTGCTATTGGTCTATTCAGGGATTTGACTTTTCCTTGTTTAGTCTTGGGATGGTGTCTGTGTCCAGGAATTTATCCATTTCTTCTAGATATTCTAGTTTATTTGCACAGATATATTTATAGTCTTCTCCGATGGTAATTTTTATCTCTATGAGATTGTTAGTAATTTCTCCTTTATCTTTTTTTGTTGTATCTATTTGATTCTTCTCTCTTTTCTTCTTTATTAGTCTGGCTAGTAGTCTCTATTTCATGATCTTTTCTAAAAACCAGCTCCTGGATTCACTGATTTTTTGAAGGGTTTTTTGTTTCTCTATCTCCTTCAGTTTTGCTCTAATCTTAGTTATTTCTTGTCTTCTGCTAGCTTTTGAATTTGTTTGTTCTTGTTCCTCTAGTTCTTTTAATTGTGACATTACAGTGTCAATTTTATGTCTTTCTTCCTTTCTTTTTAGTGCTATAAATTTCCCTCTACACACTACTTTAAATGTGTCCCAGAGATTCTGGTACATTGCGTCTTCGTTATCATTGGTTTCAAAGAACTTATTTATTTCTACCTTCATTTCATTATTTATCCAATAGTAATTCAGAAGCAGATTGTTCAGTTTCCATGTAGCTGTGTGGTTTTGAGTGAGTTTCTTAATTCTGAGTTCTAATTTGATTGCACTGTGGTCTGACAGATTGTTTCTTGTGATTTCCATTCTTTTGCATTTGCTGAGGAGTGTTTTACTTCCAATTATGTGGTCAATTTTAGAGTAAATGTGATGAAGAAGAATGTATATTCTGTTGATTTGGGGCGGAGAGTTCTGTAGATGTCTATTAGATCTGCTTGATCCACAGTTGAGTTCAAGTCCTGGATATCCTTGTTAATTTTCTGTCTCATTGATCTGTCTAATATTGACAATGGGGTATTAAAGTCTCCTACTATTATTGTGTGGGAGTCTAAGTGTCTTTGTAGGTCTCTAAGAACTTGCTTTATGAATCTAGGTGCTCCTGTATTGGGTGCATGTATAATTAGAATAGTTAGTGCTTCTTGCATTGATCTTTTTACCATTATGTAATACCCTTCTTTGTCTCTTTTGATCTTTGTTGGTTTAAAGTCTCTTTTATCAGAGACCAGGACTGCAATCTCAGCTTTTTTCTCTCTCTCTCCATTTGCTTGATAAATATACCTTCTTCCCTTTATTTTGAGCCTAAGTGTCTTTGCACTTGAGATGCATCTCCTGAATACAGCACACTGATGGGTCTTGACTCTTTAACCAATTTGCCAGTCTGTGTCTTTTAATTGGGACATTTAGCTCATTTACATTTAAGGTTAATATTGTTATGTATGAATTCGATCCTGCCATTATGATGTTAGCTGGTTGTTTTGCCTGTTAGTTGATGCAGTTTCTTCATAGTGTCGATGGACTTTACAATTTAGTATGTTTTTGCAGTTGCTGGCAACAGTTGTCCCTTTCCATGTTTAGTGCTTCCTTCAGTAGCTCTTATTATGCAGGCCTGATGGTGACAAAATCTCTCAGCAATTGCTTGTCCATAAAGGATGTTATTTCTCCTTTGCTTATGAAGCTTCGTTTGGCTGGATATGAAACTCTGGGTTGAAAATTCTTTTCTTTAAGGATGTCAGATATTGGCCCCCACTCTCTTCTGGCTTGTAGGGTTTCTGCCAAGAGAACCCCTGTAAGTCTGATGGGTTTCCCTTTGTGGGTAACCCGACCTTTCTCCCTGGCTGCCCTTAGCATTTTTTCCTTCATTTCAACCCAGGTGAATTTGACAATTATGTGCCTTGGGGTTGCTCTTCTTGAAGAGTGTCTTTGTGGTGTTCTGTATTTCCTGAATTTGAATGTTGGCCTGACTTGCTAGGCTGGGGAAGTTCTCCTGGATAACATCCTGAAGAGTGTTTTCCAATTTAGTTTCATTCTCCCCATCACTTTCAGGTACACTGATCAAACATAGATTTGGTCTTTTCACGTAATCCTGTATTTCATCAAGGCTTTGTTCATTTATTTTCACTCTCTTTTCTCTAATTGTTATTTCACTTTATTTCATTGAGTTGATCTTCAATCTCTGATATTTTTTCTTCTGCTTGATCAATTCAGCTATTGATACTTGTGTGTGCTTCATGAAGTTCTCTTGCTGTGTTTTGCAGCTATATCAGGTTATTTATGTTCTTCTCTAAACTGGTTATTCTTGTTGGCATTTTGTCTAACATTTTTTTTTGGTTCTTAGCTTCCTAGCATTGGGTTAGCACATGTTCCTTTAGCTTGCAGAAATTTGTTATTACCCACCTTCTGAAGCCTGCTTGGGTCAATTTGTCAAACTCATTCTCTCTCCAGTTTTGTTCCCTTGCTGGTGAGGAGTTGTGACCGCTTGGAGGAGAAGAGGTGCTCTGATTTTTGGAATTTTCAGCCTTTTTGCACTGGTTCCTTCCCATATTCATGGATTTTATTTACCTTTGGTTTTTGAAGTTAGTGGCCATTGGATAGGGTCTCTGAATGGATCTCCTTTCTGTTGATGTTGAAACCATTTCTTTCTGTTTGTTTGTTTTTCTTCTAACACTCAGACCCTCGCTCTTATCATATATGTGTGAGCCACTGCACGCAGCAATTTAAAAAAATAAAAAAGGTCTGCTTTAGTTTGCTGGAGGTTCACTCCAGACCCTGCTTGCCTGGGAATCACCAGTGGGGGCTGCAGAACAGCAAAAATTGCTGCCTGTTTCCTCCTCTGGTAGCTTCTTCCCAGAAAGGTACCCACCAGATAGCTAGTCAGAGCTCTCTTGTATGAGGTGTCTGTTGGCCCTAGTGGGATATGTCTCCCAGTCAGGATACATGGGGTCAGGGAGCCACTTGAGGAGGCAGTCTTTCCCTTCTCAGAACTTGAATGCTGTCCTGGAAGATCCACTGCTCTCTTGAAAGCTGCCAGGCAGGGACATTTAAGTCTGCTGAAGCTGTACCCACAACCGCCCCTTTTACCAGGTGCTCTGTCCCAGAAAGGTGGGGACTTTATTTGTAAGTCCCTGATGGGCTGCTGCATTTTTTCAGAGATGCCCTCCCAGTGAGAGGGGAGTCTAGTGACACAGTCTGCCTGCGGAGGCCTTGCTGAGCTGTATGGGCTCCACCCAGTTCGAACTTCCCAGCTGTGATGTTAAAATCGCCTACTGGAGCCTCAGCAATGGTGAATGCCCCTCTCTTCACCAAACTCGAAGGTCACAGGTCAAGCTCAGGCTGTGCTGGCTGTGAGAATTTCAACCCAGTGGATCTTAGCTTACCAGTCTTCATGGTGGGGGAAACCACCAAGCCAGATCACTTGGCTCCCTGGCTTCAGCTCCCTTTCTAGGGGAGTGAATGGTTCTGTCATGCTGGTGTTCCAGGCACCACTGGGGTATGAAAAAAAAAAAAACTGCTTTGGCTAGCTTGGTGTCTTCCCAAACAGCCGCTCAGTTTTGTGCTGGAAACCCAGGGCCCTGGTGTTATAGGCATCAGAGGGAATCTCCTGGTCTGTAGGTTGTGAAGACCATGGGAAAAGCACAGTATCTGGGCTGGAGTGCAGGGGACAGTCCCTAATGGCTTCCCTTGGCCAGGAGAGGGATTTCCCTGGCCCCTTGTGCTTCCCGGGTGAAACAATGCCCCACCCTGCCTTGGCTTGCCCTTCTTGGGCAGCACCCGCTGTCCAACGAGTCCCAATGAGATGAACCAGGTACCTCAGTTGGAAATACAGAGATCACCTGTTTTCTGCGTTGATCTCGCTGGCAGCTGCACACTGGAGCTGTTCCTATTTGGCCATCTTGCCAGCCTCTGATTTTGGTTTTTATGTATTAAATCTGACCTTACTTCTTGTGGACATACACTAACAATTTTTTGGGATTTTTAATTTATTTCCATAGAAAACCGAGAAAATTCCTATAATCGTTCTAGAAGCTCTAGCATCTCCAGTATTGACAAAGATTCTAAAGAAGCAATTACAGCACTATACTTCATGGAATCATTTGCACGGAAAAATGACTCTACCATCTCTCCTTGTCTGTTTGTTGGAACCAGTTTGGGAATGGTGTTAATTATCTCTCTCAACCTACCATTAGCAGATGAACAAAGGTTTACAGAGCCGGTTGTGGTATTGCCAAGTGGTAAGAGTTTGTATTTATTCATTCATTCACTGTTACTTTTTCAAATTTAGATATAAGGTATTATAAAACATAAATTTGTATTGATTTGGAGCAAAGGTTATGAGTATAAGTATTCTACACATGGGAACTATTAAGAATTTTATACATCATATACCATCCCAACATTTGTCATATTGTAACATACCTTTCCTTTGGGGTAAAAGAGTACAAGCATTTCTTTGACAGTAAACTGTGAAAGTGCCAACTTAAACAATGATGTGAGAAATAAGTTCCTGAAAAGCACTGAGGAAAACCTTAATGCAAAATTTAAATTTGTTTTTAACAAATTGAAGCATTTATCCAAAGTTCCATGCCAGATCAAAGCATGTGAGTGTTTTTATATTATCCTTGAAGACCTCAGAATAATTAAGCTAGAAGCTATCTGACCTAAGGTGGATTTCTAAAGTCTTTTATAATCTTCCTGTCTTGTTTCAAAGGCATGCCACACAATTTCTTTCCTTTTTATACTAGTGCCTAGAGAATTTGACCAATGTTATAAGTATTGTTGCCAATCATATGTTGTATTCTCTTCCTCCTTGAATTATCTTTTTTCTTTTTGAAGAAGAGATGAGTGTGATTCCTCCTGTTATTCCTAATTTGTTCTTAGCACTAATTTTATTGTCTCCCTGTTTCCTATATAAGAATTTTTCACATAGTTTTTAAGTTAAAAAAATTTCATTAAACCATATGATAGGGACTTTATTTTAAAGGATATATATTATGTAGAAGGTTACAGTTGTGTTTTATTTAACTGATGTGCTAAGTTCATATGACAAAATTGTAGGTAGAATAGTCAGTTCTGTACTAATGTGGCAAGTTCAGATTTGTGTTTTAGAAGTTAATCATGGTGATCATTTTAACATATAGTTCACAATGAGAAGATACCTTTTACTGTATTCCTAATTATAAGGAAATACACACAATTCTTTTGACTTGTGAGTTAGTTGAAGTCAAATCGGTGAGATCATAATGAATTATTATTAATTCAGTTTATTCTTTAACTCAGTAAAAGATTGTACATATGGGCATCTAATATGTACCAGGCATTCCTCACAAGTTTAAAGGTACGATCATCTTCCACTATCATACAAGCTTAAAGCCCTAAGTGAAAGACAATGTCCTAATTAGAAATATTCTAACAAATGTAGTTTTCTGTATCACAAGCATAGAAATAAACAATCCCTTGACTAATGAAGCAGATCTCTCAATATTATAGGGAATTTCTTTGTCATTTTTAGCCCACATACTTAGATCATAAATGATGGCAAAATGCAAAATAAGTATAGATTTAACTTTTGGCATTATTTTGTTAAGTATTTGAAAACTTTTTCCTTATCTATTTAATGAGATTTAATGGGAAGCTATCTTCTCCAAGTCTCTATGACACTATTCTTTTTTTTTTTTTTTTTTTTTTTTTTTTTTTTTTTTTTTTTTGAGACGGAGTTTCGCTCTTGTTACCCAGGCTGGAGTGCAATGGCGCGATCTCGGCTCACCGCAACCTCCGCCTCCTGGGTTCAGGCAATTCTCCTGCCTCAGCCTCCTGAGTAGCTGGGATTACAGGCATGCGCCACCATGCCCAGCTAATTTTTTGTATTTTTAGTAGAGACGGGGTTTCACCATGTTGACCGAGATGGTCTCGATCTCTTGACCTCGTGATCCACCCGCCTCAGCCTCCCAAAGTGCTGGGATTACAGGCTTGAGCCACCACGCCCGGCTGTCACTATTCTTTTAAGACTTTAGTTACCACTATCTATAATATGTGTCAACATCAATTCATTGGCTGGGCACAGTGGCTCATGCCTATCATCTCTTTCTTTGGAAGGCTGGGGGAGGAAGACTGCTTGAGGCTAGGAATCCAAGACCAGCCTGAGAAACGTAGTGAGACCCCGTCACTACCAAAAAAATTATTTTATTTTATTTTTTAAGTTGCTGGGTGCAGTGGCTCACACCTATAATCCCAGCACTTCCAAGGTAGGAGGATTGCTTGAGTCCAGGAGTTCGAGACCAGTCTGGGTAGCATAATGAGACCCCATCTCTACAAATAATTTTTAAAACTTAGCCAGGCATGGTGATGTGCGGCTGAGCTTAGGGTGATGAGGATGCAGTGAGCCGTAATCTCACCACTGCACTCCAGCCTAGGTGACAGAGTAAGACCCTGTCTCAATAAAAAATAATAATAAATTAGTTCATTAATCAAATCAAATATCCCACACTTATATAAGATGTTAATAATAAAGGAAGTGACAAAGGGATATACCCTTTATATTATCTGTTTAATTTTCTTGAAATCTGAAACTGCTCTTAAAAACACACACTATTAATTTTTCAAAAAAAAGGTATATGTAAAGCTATGAGTCTGGGTTTCCAGATTTGTTCTATAATTAACCATTACAAGAAAGAAAGCCTATATGAGAGCCATAATTTATGGCAATATAAAGAAAAGAGGATAGAATTGTAAGAAAAGATAAAGCTGACAGAAAGCCAGTTTAAATTTAAAGCAGAAAATTTTATGCTTCCTCTTTCAGAGCTCTTATTGTCTGTAATAGTTGTCCAGTCTTCACCCTCCATTACAATATCTAGTTTCTTTCCTATACTCATGAGTCACTGTCCAAGCTTATGGGAACTATTACGGGTAATGTTTATGTTATTATGGTTGCTGCCATAGCTTATGGAAACCTTTAAAGAAGGTTTGGATTCAGAGGCATTTCCCTTTTTCATTGTCAGTGCTGACAGTGATGCAAAACACTTTTTTTTTTCCTCAAGATCTAGGTCTTAAATTTTAAATTTTATAGTTGTAAAAATCAAAACATAAAGGAACAAAAATGAAAATTCTGCCACTAGCAAACTTTGTCCTTTGTCTCTCTCCCATCCCTCATTTCCTCCTAGGAATTTTACTCCCCACTAGCAACTCAGTGAGAAATTTGTTAAAACTCATTTTAAATTTTATTTATTTCTACTTAACTCTTTATGCTGCCAACTAAAAATCATTCTATAATTATTAGTTCTGCCATACAAAGTACCTAGCACTGCTTTGTAATATATATATATGCCTCAAAATCAAATTCAAGATTTAAATTCATGATAAAAATCAAGATTTTCCAGAATAAATTTATTCTCTTTACTTCAGTGTTAGGCTGCTTTTTCATTGCTATACAGGAATACCTGAAATTGGGTAAGTTATAAAGAAAATAAGTTTAACTGACTCACAGCTCTTCGGGCTGTACAGGAAGCATGGTTCCGACATTTGCTCAGCTTCTGATGAGGCCTCAGGAAGCTTCCAGTCATGGTGGAAGGCAAAGGGGGAACAGGCACATTACAGGGCAAGAGCAAAAGCAAAGAGAGAAAGTAGGGAGGTACCATACAATTTTAAACAACCAGATGTTATGTGAACTAACAGAGAGAGATCTCACTAATCACCAAGGAATTGGCACTAAGCCATTCATGAAGGATCCATCCTCATGATCTAATACTTCCCATTAGGCCCTACCTCCAACTTGGGGATTGCATTTGAACATTAGACTTGGAGGGGACAAACATCCAAAGTATATCAACTTCCAAACTAGTTATTTTTACCACTCTTTCATTTCTGTTAATAGAATATTAACAGAAATTTAATTAATAGCTATCATAATACCTAAATAGCCTCCATAATCTCAATTTCTTTTTTTCTGATCCCTTTTACTCACTGCCTTCATATTGGTCATATACCAGTATTATTTTCATCATTTCCATTTTTGGAAGTGTCTACTCTAGAGTTGTCCCAGCCTTGCTCCCTAAGTCAAACTTATTTTCCAGCATTCAATTCCTTTAAAGTCTACTTCTCTGATGAAGAACTAGTAAATTATATAAATATGAAAATGAATTGATGTGCTGTCTTACAGATATAACACAAAATTGGTTAATTGGCTTTGTCTGGAAATTATTTAATTGAAATTAGAAGGATATTATTTTTAATCCCAAGTCTAAACCTTGATGAAAAACTTTATTAAAGTGTTATTTAGTTAAGACCTTTCTATATGAGTATATTTCAAATATACTTTTGAAATTCACATAATTTATCTCTTATAAACTGCAATATAACGAATACAATAACATACTTAAATCAAACGTAATCATTATATTTGACTTAAGAAGAAAAATAAAGGCCTCATACAGAATAATCAACATATAAACTCCCCACTTACAGATTTCAATATTTAAACTTTTGGATTTATCAGTATCTATTATTGTATTCCATATATTCATGTGTACCCATTATTTAGCTCCCACTTATAAGTGAGAACATGAAGTTTTTTACTTTCTAAGTCATTTCATGCAGGATAACAGTCTCCAGCTGCATCCACATTGCTGCAAAGGGCAATGATTTCATTTTATTATGGCTGAGTAATATTTCATGGCATATGTATATATATATGTCACATTTTTAATCCAATTGTCCATTGATTGACACAGGTTGATCCCATGACTTTGCTATTGTAAATAATGCTGCAATAAACATATACATGCTTATGTCTTTTTTGATACTATTTTTCTTTTATGTAAATACGCAGTAGTGGGATCACTTAATCAAAAGGTAGTTCTATTTTTAGTTCTTTGAGACATCTCCATATTGCTTTACATAAAGGTTGTACTAATTTACATTCTCACCAATACTGTATAGGTGTTCCCTTTTCTCTGTATCCTTGCAAGTGTCATTTTTTAATTTTAATTTTAATAATAGCCATTCTGACTGTGTACGATGGTATCTTGTGGTTTTAATTTCCATTTCTCTGATGATTAACAATATTGAACTTTTTTTTATGTTTCTTGGCCATTTTATGTCTTCTTTTGAAAAATGCCTGTTCATGTATTTTGCTTACTTTTTTAAAAAAATTATACTTTAAGTTCTGAGATACATGTACAAAACATGCAGGGTTGTTACGTAGGTATCCATGTGCTATGGTGGTTTGCTGCACCCATCA